GGGGGGGATCGTTTTGAGACAGGGGGTCTCTGTAGCCCCAGCTGGCCTGGAACTCACTACATAGACCAGTCTGGCCTTGAACTCCGCCTGGAACTAAAGGCGTGCACCACCACACACGGCTTCAAAGGCAAAGTTTTAAGAGTATGATTTGTATTAAAAATTGACCAATGGCCAGCAAAATGGCTCAGGAGGTAAAAGGCACCCACTGTGCAACCCTGGTAACTAAAGTTCAATCCCTAGGCTGGCCTGGAACTCACTACATAGACCAGTCTGGCCTTGAACTCCGCCTGGAACTAAAGGCGTGCACCACCACACACGGCTTCAAAGGCAAAGTTTTAAGAGTATGATTTGTATTAAAAATTGACCAATGGCCAGCAAAATGGCTCAGGAGGTAAAAGGCACCCACTGTGCAACCCTGGTAACTAAAGTTCAATCCCTAGAACCCACATAAAAGTGGAAAGAACTGATTCCACACGTTGTCTTCTTACAATCCCTCAACATAGGCAGTGATACTGTCATCTCCATCACATATACAAACAGTACAGTTTACTAAGGTCTGGTTGGGATATAGAGAGACCTAAAAGAGAACTCAGAACACTAAGCAGAATGGCCTTTTCAGCAGTTCCAGTTTTGTATCCTCTGTAATTCTAAGGCCAAATTATTTCTACTGGTTTCAATTATATTTTTCATATTTTCTGTATCGCTTAGAGATAACTTTCCAAATTATAAACTGGTTCACCTTAGAAATTTCACCTACTTTCTATGCTTTTTTAAAGAAGTGGGCAGCAGGCTTAGTGTTTTCAGATTGGTGGTACCAACTCAAAGGGTTGAAAAATTTAGTAAGTCATACTTAAGCACACAATTAAGGAAAGGAAAACAGCCGACCATGGTGGTGGACACCTTAAATCCCAGCACTCAAAAAGCAGAGGCAGATATGGCATCTCTGTCAGTTCAAGGCCAGCCTGGTCTACATAGTGAGTTCCAGGCCATCTGGAACTACAGAAAGACCCTGAATCAAAAAAAGACCAAAATAATAATAATAAAGAAAACAGACATTGTAAAGTTTTTTAAAAACCTTCTGTTCCACTCTTTCTAATAAGAAACTACTAAATCCAATGACGTCTCATTGTAAAGATCACAATTCAGTAGGTCATAGCCCTAGAATATTTGCTTGTGTGTATACACAAGGATTGATAACTGCCAAGAATATAAAATAAGAACACATTTCTTGACAGCTGCTTATAGAGCTTCAGTCAGACAGCACTCCTAAGCCTGTCCACTTCTCTGAGTTCTAACTCAAAAAGTGTAACTTTTCCCTCTTTGAATACTGTTCAAAATCCTACAGAAACTTGCTCTTACACTGTTTCTGCTTCCTGAACACCCCCAACTCCACACACATACACAGCCTTCAGCTTGCCAACTGCCATGGCTGACCTATTAACTCAAAAAAGCATGATTTTCCTCTTAAAAAGTTACCTTACTCTACTGAATTCTTTTCCAAAAAATTTTTATCATCTTTATGTGTTCAAGAGTACTGCCTGCACATGTCTAAGTTCACCTGTGCTGTGCAATGCCCACAGAGGTCAGAAGTGGGTGTTGGATTTCCCTGGAATTTTGCAGTTGTCAGCCACCATGTGGGTTCTGGGAGTTGAGCTAGGGTCCTCTGCAATAGCAGCCAGTGCTCTAAACTGCTGAGTCATCTCCCTAGCCACTCTACTGAACATTCTTTTCCCTTCAAAACCTATAGTTGGCAACCCGATAAACATCTACCAAGTCAGGAACATACCTCCTTCTTATCTTTGTCTTCATAAGGGCTGCTAGGCTGCTTTGCAGAGGGCTCTGGGCTTCTAGGCTGTTGTATGTTAGTGGTACCTGGTTCACTAGAAGGTGCATCTCCCTCCCCTTGATGCCCTGAAGCAGGGGGAGGACTTTGCCCAGTCAAGGCAGTTGTATGGATTTTAGCAGCAGCACTTCGAGACCTATGAATTAATGGAGGGCAGGGGAGAGCAGGGAAATCAGTTCAAGGGAGAACAGAAAACCCCCTCCCCCCAATTCACAATCACCTTTCCTATCTGTATAACCCTCTTCCAAATAAGTCTTCTTGGTCAAGAGACTCAAATCATTTTCAGAAATGTAATTTCAGTCCTTTTTGTTTCATCTCTTGTCAACACAATCCCAAACAATGCACTCCCTAGTCCCTCTACCCCTTTTATTCGCCTCCCTCCAGCATCCCCAAACCCTCCACCCAGGCCATTCCCTACCCATTTCATTCACAACTCACCTCGGAGCCCACCTCCTTCAGGAAGACTTCCCCGATTAAGGAAGCCAGAGTAAGGATTCCTTCCTCCCCCAGACACCACCAGCAACCCGCCCCCTCTATTCTGGCAGTCCATATACATCATAACAAACAAAATAAAAATAAAAATAAAAAAGACAAGGGGAAATGTATATGTCTGTCCATCCTGTTGCTTTAGCCTGTCAGCTCCTAGAGGGCAGGGACCGTGTCTTCGGAATGGTCTGTGCAGCGCCTAGCACACCGTGGGCGCTCAATAAATATTAAATTGATTAACCCATCGTTCCCTCTCCCTCCCTTCCTCCTGGACTACCCCTTACCGACTACGAGAAGTATCAGAGGAGGAAGCAGAGTCAGCAGAAGTTGATCTATGGGCCCGGCGGCTCTTGGGAGCTGGTGTTGTACTTCTAGATCTGAAGGAAGACCATCACAAAGCTCAGGAGGCTGTCATTCCTACTCTCAATTCTCAGCACTCATCTCTTAAAATTTGTGTTTGAGAGTAAGTGTGCATGCATGTATAGTATACAAAGGTCAGATGACTACCTAAAGGAGTTGGTTCTCTCCTTCCACCATGTCAGTCCCAGAGATGACCATATCAGTTCCAGAGATGGAACTCAGGTATTCAGGCTTGGCTGCAAGTGCCTTTACCTGCTAAGCCATCTCTCCCACTCACTTTTAACTTTTGTGTCCTCCCCACCCCACCCCCATTCTCAACTCTTCACCACCAGTCAAGGGTAGAGCTGATTCTTCCCTCTCTCCCTAAAGGGGGCGGGAAGGTGGGGGCATTTATCTATTTCTTAGTGAACACTCACCGCTTCCGCTTCTTGTCCTTTGATTTACGTTTGCTCTTTGGAGTAGGAGACCTGGGAAACAAAGCAACGTTGTCAAAACATGTTACTTTAAATGGCAATAAAATCTGAAGTAAAATGGAAAAAACTGTTCAAGTATTATTAACCCCAGGATTAAGGTAAAAGGTTGCACTTTAAAAAAAAAAAAAAAAAAAAAAAAAAAAGGAAATAGCTGGGTATGGTGGCGCACACCTTTAATCCCAGCACTTGGGAGGCACAGGCAGGCAGATCTCTGAGTTCAAGACCAGCTGGTTATACATAGCTAGTTCCAGGCCAGCAGGGGCTACAGGGAGACCTTGTCTCAAAAAGACCAAAAAGAAAAAAAACGGAAAAAAATCTTAAGAATTAAATAAAAAAGAGACAGTAATCAAGGTCATCAAACAGTAACTCACCACTCCCATGTGCCACTATGTCTCCCCTAAGAACCAAAGAGCTCTTACCTGTGCTTCCGTTTCTTGGACTCAGATTCTGACCTGTTAATGAAAATACAAAGAAAACTGTAAGCCCACATCTACTGCCAAACTCAACAACCTCTTTTAATCACTTCAGGAACTTCTACCTCATACCTGTGCTTCTTCTTCTTTGAGCTCTTCTTTCTCTCTCGTCGAGGAGAGCTGCTCTCTGACCTGCTAAAAGTGAGTTGAGAACCAAGTCACTCTACTTCTCTTTCTCTCTGGCCCTCTCACCTACAATTCTCAAGTTTCTAAAGCACTGGAACAATCCCAAGAGCAGCAATAGCCTATACTCTATTTCTTTTTTTTTTTTTTTTTGTCTTTTTGAAGCAGGGTCTCCCTGTGGCCCCAGCTGTCTTGGAACTCACTATGTAGACCAGGCTGGCCTTGAACTCAGAGATCCACCTGCCTCTCCCTTCCAAGTGCTGGAACTACAGGCGTGCGCCACCACGCCCGGCTCTATTTCTTAACTTCTACATGAGTAACTGATTAGATCAACAAACTCAAAAATGAAATCCAAAATGCTGCTACCCAGCTTTCTTCACAGGGCTATAGAGACTCAACCATTTCTACACAAGTCTCCTCTCAGCTGAAATTTGAAAAAGTAATTCTGTTCTCCCTTTCTTATAATTCTTTGTTCTCTGAACACAGTCTTGATTTCTAGAAAGATAAGTCGACATCAGGATTGGTCCTCTGGATTCTAGAGTAACTTTCCAACTGACTCACCGTCCTCTATCTTTCTTCTTTTTCTTCTTCTTTTGCTTTGGAGTTGGTGAACGAGAACTACTTGTCTCTCGAACGAGGCTGGGAAAAGATGAAGAGATTCTAAGTACCAAGACAGACTTCCTTAAAACATTTCAACCTGGGGCTGGAGAGATGGTTCAGTGGTTAAGAACACTGGCTGTTCTTGCAGAAGTCCCAGCACCCACATGGCAGCTAACAACTGTCCATAACTCCAGTCCCAGGGGATCCGACAGCGTCTTCTGACCTCCGAGGACATTGCATGACACGGGTGCACTTTACCTACATGCAGGCAATACACACGCATACATATAAAATAATTAAAAATTAAAAAAAAAAATTTCAACCTAATGAATTATATACTTGCGACAGCTCACTGGTAAGGTGATTGTTTCATCTTTGGACAACTGCTGCGTGCCTACTTGTTTGTGTGTGTGTGTGTGTGTGTGTGTGTGTGTGTGTGTGTAAAACACTTCATAACCGACTGAATGAAAAAAATGTAAATTTTTTTTTTTTATTGCATGACACGGACGCACTTACCTACATGCAGGCAATACACACAAAATAAAATAAAATATTTTTTTAAAAAATATGTAAATTTTAGCTGGGCGTGGTGGTGAATGCCTTTAATCCCAGCACTTGGGAGGCAGAGGCAGGTGGATCTCTGTGAGTTCAAGGCCAGTCTGGTCTACGTAGTGAGTTCTAGGACAGCTAGAGCTACAGGGAGACCCTGTCTCAAAAAGACCGGAAAGAAAAAAAAAAGATGTAAATTTTAAAGTTTTAAAAAATAGCCGGGCGTGGTAGCACACGCCTGTAGTCCCAGCACTTGGGAGGCAGAGGCAGGCGGATCTCTGTGGGTTCAAGGCCAGCCTGGTCTACATA